ATGGATGATGGGCCTTTGCTCCGCAGGCAGGGTCATGGTCAGCCTTGTGGCCAGCAGCTCGGCATGGTGCCCGTGCCCAGCTCTCCCAGGCAGAGCCCCAATGCCTAAAGCTTCGCTCTGTGTTTGGAAATTGCCTCCGATCACCCCCTTTCCTCCCACGCCATAAAGGCAGATGCCATTCACTCTGCAGGGACTTGGCCCTTGTGCTAACCTGTGCTCCAGCTATTTTTTTCTGGCTGCTTGGCCTCCTATTTCCTAATGACGATGCAATCAGTTTTCGGATGGGAGATTCCTCATGAGGAGGCTTGTTGTTATTTAAGGAAGATCATTAAATCCATCCTTAATGAAAGGATAGGAGAAAACCCTTCCACCAAGTTACACCGAAGCCTGAGATTATCATTTTTATAGGCTTCCAATCTTTCCTGCCTCATGTCTTATCAGCAAATGCAGCTGGAGGCTTCAAAAACCCTCCCAGCTTGCTGCTGATTTTATGGGACGAAGATTAGAGATGATCGGATAGTAAATTATTCATTCCATTCGATATCGCTGGGCAGGAGGGAATATCCAGAGAGAAGTCAGCTCCCTTCTCCCTTTCTGAGCATCATGTATTGGGATCCCAGCTGTCTGCCACTCCAGCGATGCAGTAGCACTTTCCTCTGCGCTCAGGGATGATTAGGGGTGCAAAATGCCCTCTGAACAGATGGGAAAGCCGAGAGGGAATCACGGATTCAGGCTCATCCCCCACCAGTAAGGCAGACCAGAGGCAGGTGGATTTTCTTCTTGTTTCAGGACTTTTAGCTTGATTCCTCCCAGCCCAGGGCAAGGTGGGACAGATCGGGTAGGTGTTCCCTCAGCCTAATTTCTCAAGGTTGCAGGACCTGAGGCTGGTGTGTACATGCTGTCAGACCCCTGGCACCTATTTACCCCATGGACAGAGGAGCAGGGAGCTCTGAGAGGACAAATCCTGGCAACTGTGCGCAAATGGATAGAGGAGAGAGCCCACTGCTGCCCTTAGATGTACAGAGCAGCATCATCACCCGCTGGGACCCAGCACGGATGGTGGCCAGTGTGAACGCTGTCCAGAGACCTGATCCAAAAACCAGCTGGTGTAAAAACATCATCCAGAGCGTCCCATGAAATGCGCATGGGCCACGGTGATGCTACTGAGCAGATCTTGAGGGAAAATGAAGGACGTAGCACGGCCCTACCTAGTGCCCGATGCTGGTGCTGTTTCTGGGCCCCATCTCGGATGGCTGCTGGGTACCAGCTCCCAGCCAGTGCCCTGCCAGGAGCGGTCCTGCCTGACCCCGCTGGAGCATCCAGGCTGCCTGGGAGGAGAAGGGGAAAATCCCCATCCTCCCCAAACAAGGGTCCAGGAGGGATCACGGCCACCCCCTCTCCCTGCTGTTTATTCAAGGCTTGCTATTAGCATCAGTCCCAGGAGACTCATGAATGGTCTAATAAAATATCTGATAAAATGCTGAGAGGTGATTTTTTTTCTTGGACCTGTGAGTGTGTGCAGGAGGGGAGCAAATGGCCCAACTGAACCCTGGGCTGGCGGGGGGAGGACAGTGACCGTGCCCCATTGCCACATCATGGACATCGGGATTTTCATCAGCACATAAATAACAAAATATATTGCTGTTTAAAGGCATTTTCAAAGCGGGGAAGTGAAGACACAGAGCTGTGGTGGATGAAAAGCCTTTCTTCTGCGGTTTATCCACACTGGCACACTGGGTCAAGAAAATGCCCTTCGTATAGCAGCGGTAGCCCCTGGCTCTCCCCTGGCAGCTTCCATCCCAGGCTGGATTTGAAAGCCAGTGTCGATGGGAAATGAGAGAATTCTGGGACAACCGAGGAGTATTTGTTTTTGGCGGAAAATGTTAAAAGAAACAAGTAATTTAAAATTGCGCTTGTGTTTTTTATTTTTTTCTTTTTGGAGCAGCTATTGTAATGTAACAATTTCATCATTACTTTCTTTTTCTAGAAAGAATACAATCTCTTCTTTAGGGGCTGTTCAGGCTTGCTCTCATCTATTTTCTCTATTTTTATGTCTCTTTCTAAGAGAGGGGGAGGAGATGGAGAGGATGAAGGATGGAAGGAAGAAGGGAGGAAGGAAGGAAGGAAGTGAAGGAGAAAGAAAAATAAACTCCATTAAAACGCAGAGCCCCACAATGTTTTTCAAAGAAGAACTGGCACCTGTGTGCTGAGCCGTATCACCCAGGAACACATTTTAGGCTCAGGAATGTTGCTTTGAGCAAATGTTCATTTTGGCTAAACCCAACATATTTCTTAGGGGAAAAAACCACCAAATTTTGGATGGTATCAGCATAAATCCTGAAAGTCCAAGAGCTGTTGTACAGTCAACTGCTCACCTGAGTCGCTGGGAGAGAGCTGAGCTGGCTCCGGCTCCAGTTGGCTTTGACCAATTGCTGCCAAGGTGGTTTGCCCTTCCGTGCCTCAGTTTCCCTCGCCTGTAAAATGGACCTGCAGGGCTTTGCCTCACCACGACAGGGCGATGCTGAAGGCATCAACGTGAGAGACAGCAAGATTTCCAGCATGCTGCAGCAGAAACACATTGCTTCTCACCTCTTCAACTCCCAAGCCACAGCGACAAAAGGACAAGCTGGATGGCAAATTATTTGCCAAAATTTCTGACTTTGTCTCTGCAAAAAGGCTGCTGCCATTACAGTGACTTGCTTTTCTCATCCCCCAGGCCAGATCCATGGATATGCAACCAAGCAGGTGCCACAGGCGCTTTCAGCCACAATAGCACATACCTTCCTAATAGCTGCCGTGGGCTAAAGGAGGTGCACTGGAGCCCAGGGGAGCTTTGAGATAAGCAAACGAGTGATTCTCTGGCCTCATCAGCAAGCCCAGAACAATTAAATAATTAAATGTCCTTAAATTTCTTATACAAGTTGGAATGTGCAATGGTAAAGTGTTATTTGCTCCTCAGGAGGGAGCTGATAGCAAGACCATTGTCTGGAAGGCACAGCAGCCCTGCCTTCATCTGGTCTGTCCCATCCCATCCCCCCAGCACACTGTAGGACATGGTTGAATCCTTGAGACATTCCCTATCCTTGGAAAATCAGCCCAGGGTCCCTGGAGCTGGGCCGGGCAGAGCCCTGGGGCGAGCAGGCAACGTGGAGTACGTGTGGAGGAGGACCAGGAGGAACCCCATGAGCAACCTGCTGCAGCCCCAGGTGTGACTGGGGGGTAGATAGCAATAGCAGAGAGGTGTCTCGGACCTTGAATTTTTAAGGGCAGCAGCAGGACTGGCTTCTCTAGGACTTCTTGATCTGCTGATAAAGCCTTCTGCTCTAAACAGCTTTTTTTTTTTTTTTTCTGGGCTTTTGCTAAGAGACAAGCAACAAGCAGGCAGCAAAGATCGCAAGCTCTGCGTGCTTTCCCAGGGAGATAACATGGAAGCAAGTCATGGGGAACTCAAAGTTCACGCTCATTTTTATTCCTTCGCAAGCCATTCCTTTTCCTCAGTAACAGGATTAGATTGCTTTTATAGGGCTTTATTATGGGCAGGTCCCTGTTGTGTCACTTCCTTGCCGAGTGCAGCGGGAGAGTCCCTGCCCTAAGGAGTTTGTAAGCAAAAACTAGCAGGGCTGGGAATGGGATTATCCCATGTTGCAGGTGAGGATTTGGCCATGGAAAGGACTTTGGGAGAGAGCCGGGAACTGGCCTTCAGTCTTGTACAGCTCAAGCCAGCTCCAGCTTGTTTTGAGGATAAATGACATTATTCTAGACCCAGGGGAAAGAGGAGGGGTGAAGGAGGGAAATCCTGCACCGGTGGGTATGTATTCCTGAGTGTGCTGCGTGTTCCCGAGTACGGGTCCCATGTGGGTGCCCATGTGGGGACTCAGCACCCAGGGACCTCCCCTGGGATGTGGGGGGACACCACCAGACCCGGAGGCTGGGAGCTCAGATGCCGCCAGGGGGGACGCTCAGCAGCCCTGTGGGGCTGGGCTTATGGAAACGCTATGACACACTGCGAGAAGAGTGACGACGGAACCATTGGCTCACAATTTTAAAATTTCCTTTGGGAAGCTGCACATCCATGAAGCCAAATAGCTTTTATTCTTCCTGTGGGATGGGTTTGTCAGCCATCCAAACCTGGCATGGGCTGGGAAGCTGCTTAACCCGGGACCTGCAAGCTTCCCCCATCCCACAGCATCTGTGCAGCTGATGGGAAGGGCCAGCCTCTCTAGATGCTACAAGTCTGCTGGTGTTTCTACCTCTTCTGGTGTCGAAGAAATTTTGGAAACAGCCCTGAAGGCTCAATGAAATGAACACTGTGTTTGCTCTGTTTAGCAATCTCTCCATTAAATAAGGTGTGGGAGGCGGGAGGCCGTACTTGGCATCGAGTCTGGTTTATTAAATGGTTGTTTTTAAGCCGCAAATGTGTTCTGCTGGGTTGTTAATGACACTTGCTGAAAAGAAAAGAGCAAGGAAGCAAGCAGGGGCTGTGGCAGGCAGCTCCACGCATCCCCGGGACCCGGGGTTCTGTGGGGTGGGAAGGGGTGTCAGACCTGGGCATTGCTGAACCCCCCGGGCTCTCCTGCTGTGGGGAGGGGGACTTGGGGGACACCCAGGTCCTGTTCAGCCACGTTCCCCAAGTGCTGCAGCCACGCTGGGGGAAAGATTTACCCGTCTGGGTGTTGCTTCTTCCTCCTGGACCGATGCAAATCTTTTATGCCTGAGTCCCCTTCAATGCCCTAAGGGGATTGTCAGGTTCAAGTCACCATGCCCCAAATTCCCCGCCAGCCTCCGCCAGAGAAAGAAAGAGGCACCTCCTTCCACCCCTTCCCGCAGCAGGATTTGAATAACCAGGTGTGAGCATCAGCCTCCCTCGTTAATACGTTTGATAATTGACCAAGCGCTCATTCCTGTGGGAGGGCGGCGTGCCCAAGCTCAGCGCCCTGCGAGGAGGGGCCGCGCTCGGCTGCTCCTCCGTGCCCCGAGAGCCCGTGGCCCTGCCTGCTGCCATGCCTGCCCGCTGCCTCCTCCTCCTCCTCCTGGGGCTGCTCCTGGCGCTGGAGCCTGCCTGCTGCCAGGAAGGTAAGTGCAGGCAGCTGCCTGGCCTCCCGGGGAAACTGAGGCAAGGGGGAGGTGGGAAGGTTTGCTGAGCCCCAGGCAGGTGGGGGCTGCTTGGTGGGGTGGCTCTGGGGACAAGGGACAACTGCGAAAGGGCCACTTGGGAAGAGAAAAAACATCCCAGCTCCCACCCAAGCTTCAGCTCCGGCTTCACATCAGTGGGCAACAGGGACGGGTGAGTGTCTGGTGGGTTGGGAGGTTTTACCAGAGCCGGGACACGGAGACTTTCTGCCTGTTTTGCCGATGGCTGAAACTGCTCTCCGAGGTTTATTTCTTCTGCTTACATGGAGATAAAGCAGCTCTGATTTACCTCCGGCAGGACTGTGTACCAAGATGAGTAATCTGTTTTCTTAAGGCTTTTTTTCTTTTTTTTTTTTTCTTTCTTTCTTCTCGCTCTCGTCCCTGGGCAAGTGTTGTGCTGGGTCATTCCCCGAGCTCGCAGGTTTTCCTGTTAATCTGTAATTTTGATCATTGCCGAGGTGAGGAAGCAAATATTTTCCTCTGCAAATTGCCCTCCCGTTCCCTTTCCAGAGACTTAACAGAGGAACTTCCTACGGCTAGGGCATTATTTTTAGGAAATTCATGGAAGGACTTGTCTAATGCTAGAAATAATAAGGAGTAATCAGAACTCATCTGATGCTGCCAAAGTCCTGGAAAATTCCCTCCCCCTTTCTCCTTCTGATGCCCCAGCCCTGACCACTCTTCCTGTACTTGTTTACCAACTTGCTGAGGATTTAACAGTCTGGGGTCTCCACCGTCAGCAGGATTGAAAGTTTTGCTGTTGCCTGGAAAGAGAAAAAAGAAAAAAACCTTTAATGAGATTCAGAGCCTGGCATAGCTTTCTCGGAGAGGAGAAAAGCCAGGGGCCAGCCGATGCTTTCCAAGCACTCGGGGAAGACGTATGAAAAAGCAGATCTGTGTCTTCAAACCAGCCACGGAGTATGGAAATGGAGTTACAGCACGTGTAAGGGCTTATATTGGCATTGGCACTTCCCTCAGTCTGACCTGTAGCTGCAGATGCGTGGACACACGTCTGCCAGGGGTCCAGATCCCACGTTGCTTAGTTTGGCTTAGAAGATCTTGTTCGGGAGGGGAAAAACCCATCATTGGTGTTAGGTGGAACAGAGAGGAGGTGGCAGAGCCTGAGGGACAGGCTGTCCCAGGAGGGACAGCCCTGGTAAAGCATTTTTCCAGGAGCACAGCCCCGTTTCCACAGGTGAGGCTCATCCTTTCGGCCATCCCTCCTGGCAGGGCAGCAAGGTGTGCTCAGGTGGGGCACCGCCTGCCTGGAGCAGATGCTATCGAGCTCTTGCCTCCGCCTGGTTCTCATTCCTCCTTTCTTATGCCCACACAAGTTCCCTGTGCTCGCGGGAGGGGGTGGTATTTCAGCCTGATGTGGAGGCATTTGCCATTCCCCCTTGCCATCCTCCTGTCCCCTTGCAGCCAGGCTCTGCGTGATCTCTCAAAGTCAGAACCCCTTGATCTTTGGTTTGATATTTTGCCTTTTGGCTTTGGATGCTCTGAAATCTGGTGGAAACAGCCACCTGAGTGAGGTTTTGCTTGCAAAAACATACAGTACCTGCTGAGCACGGCTGCTCGGAGGAGGTTTCCTACCACTTATCTTCTCCCCTCCTTTGCTTGAAGATCGCAAGATGCAAAATTGGTGATTTCAGTCATCGCTGACTTCATTCTCCAGTTGGCCTTGAACTCCCTTAACCACAGCAGAAGCATCACCAAGAGCTGGACCTGACCATCCCCTCCTAGGCTTAGGCTGGAAACCTTGGCCCTGGCAGGAAAAATAAACCACAATTAATAAATAAACATGGCTGAGATAACATCCAAGGGCAGAGCGAGGGAGGAAGCAAAGCGGGCCAAAGCTCAGCCTGGAGGCAATAGGTGTGTTTGGGGTTGCGCCCATGGGGGTGGTGGGCAACAGGACGGGAGCATCTCCCGCCCATCAGGTAGGGCAGGAGGGGACCAAGCTCTGCCCTTTCTTGCTGCCACCACCCCCCGGTACCCCTCCCAGCAGCCCGCTGATACAATGGGATTTCAGCCGAAACACGCTGATACAAGAGGGAATTTCTGCCTGAATTCCTCCCACTTGAGTTTTGGCCCTGGGACCTTGCAGTAAACACAGCAAGTGTCTGTGGGGAGGCAGGGGGGCTGGAGGCCGTTGTTTGGGGCTGCTCTCCTGGCCGCTCACTCGGGGGTGCCACCGCTTTCCGAACTGGCACGGGCAGTGAATCATTTGGCCAGGCTGATTTCACTTCCAAAAGGAAAAGAGAGCTCTGGTTTGTTTTGCTTTGTTTTGCTTTTAAATAAATCCTCTTGCAGTAAGGATTCAAGGTGCTGGAGGTCTCAACAAAGGACAGTCCCCTCCCCAAAACCAGAGGAAGGAGGTGAGGGCTGTCAGCCGGTGTGGAGCTGGCTGTGGATGAGGAGTCTGCACACGTGGAGCACACAGCTCACATTTATTGCCTCTAGTAAAGATTATTTGCTGTTTATAGCAGAGATTTGTCTCTCCTGAGACAGATGAATGTTCAGCTAGCGTAAAGCTCCTGAGTTAGACTGAAGTACCCATGCACTTGTCCTGGGGCGTCTTGGCTTTGCGGGTGCCAGTGGTAGGGGCTGGGGCCCAGGGGTCTGAGTCTGATGCTGGGGCTGGTGAGGAGCATCCTCTCAGCAGGAAAAGGAAAAGTCGTGCCTGAATAAATAGGGATTAAATCCCAAAGGGATGTGTCTGTGTGGACAAGGTCTCCTTTTGGTGCTGATGCAACAACACTTAAGGGTGGGTTTGACTACGTCTGAGTGCTCCGTCGCCCGAAAGCTGGTGGGAGGAGAGGAGCAGCCGTCCCAGCATGGACTGGGAAAAGGTTTCCTCTTCTTATTGCCCTGCCTGTGAGTTTCTCCTGTGTCCAGGAATGCATCTCTCTGCCTTCCCACCCATGACAGGATCGCTGCTTAGGTCTGGCTAGAGAAAAATGAACCTGTGAGTCTGTCCCACCCCAGGGTGGGGGCGATGCTCTGGCCAGCTCCCGGCTGCCCCCTGCACCCCCCCCAGCTGCCATCCTGCCAGCCCCGCCTGGCCTTTGCAATGGAAACTGACACTTCAGCCTTCAATTTCCCCATCATAAATGGGTTTGCTGCTCTGGCAACTTGTTGAGTGGTACATTTTACCAAAACCCATGCCAGCAATAGTTGGCTGCCAGAGTGACAACCAAATTTACACCATCCCTGTCATGGGGTCCTTATTTATCAGGCAGTATTTGGAAAATAACCCAGGAACTTCTGGGGCTTCTGGGGATGGAGAATAAACAGTTTGCTGAAACCCCTCTGCCTTCTTTCCCCTGCCACTTTGGGCAGACATCCTCCCTCCCTCCCTCCCTCCCTCCCTCCATGTCCCCCCAGCCCTTTGTTCCCCCATCCCAGGGTCATCTGCACCCCACTGCGCACACATCTGTATGTATATACGGGGCCCCAAAGCTGCAAGGCACCGGGCTCCACATGCAAACACCAGTGCAACCGCTGTTATTTGCACTTTATTTCATTGCTATCACCCAGGTAAGCCTGCCTGGATTAACAGCAACACGCTCTGCTCAGCTTTGCAGGACTGAGCTCTTGGTTGGGTATTGGTGAAGCTGGATGGGAGAAGCTCAGCCAACCAGATAAAGCCTGAGGATGTATTTCTAACACGTATCCTTCTTTTTTTCGGCAGCCCGGGGCAACCTCCAGCCATGGTCGCAGGGTGTCATCGCAGTGGTTGTGTTTCTGGTCCTGGTGGCCATTGCTTTCGTGGTCAATAGGTTGTGGTGTAAGGAGAAAGTGTAAGTGGGGGAGCCCTGGGGGTTGCTTTGGGTTGGGTTTAGCTGCCTCTGCATGGGTCACTTCCAGCTGCCTCCGTCCCCGTGCCAGGGCTGGGAACACTGTGATTGCTGCCAGGCAGGGAGAGCAAAGACTCCCTGCCCTGGTCTCCCTGTCCTCTTCTCACTGTCCTGGTCTCCACTCCCTGTTACTTATTGCCAGGTGCGAGCATACACCATCCGTCCCCGCTGCACCCTGCTCAGGGCCACCGCCAAACAGCTCTCAGATGCTGCTGCAAGAAAGACGGGAGAGCCGCAGCGTGGTGGCTAGTTTACATGGGCACGTGTCTCAGGGGGCTGGCCTGAGTCTGTTTTCCTATGGATTTGGGGGTGCAGTTCCCAGGTGCCTTATATCCATAGGAAAAAAGCCCAAACCAGCTTCGTTTGCAAAGCAGACTAGGCCAAGTCAGCAGCGGGCACTGGGAGGAGACAGAGAGTGGGAGGCAGCCAAGCCGAGGCAGTGGTCTCCACCCAGGCATGGCACAGGCAAACTGGGTGGCTTTTTCACCAGAAAAAGGTTCTGTGGGGCCGGTTACCTCTTGCCTGCTGCTGGCTGAGCAAAGCCACAGGCTGCCGCTCCTGCTCAGCCAACCCAGGCTAACTGGCTAAGTTGCAGTAACTTGATCTTGAATCTGAGCCCAAAGTCAACAGGGGATGAAGATCGAAAGTGCCCTATAGCCTGGTTCCCAGTTCCTCTGCATCTGCATGGGTGCTTTGGGCTTTGCACCCAAGGGTGCTGGAGTCTTCTTGTATCTGTGCATCCCTGCAGCCTCTCCAGGCTGAGGAGGTGAGGACTTGGGATGTACCCCGATGCTCAGCAGGTCAGCTGCTGCCCCAGATGCACCTAAAGGGGGCCCTTTGGGATGCATTCAGGGCTAATGCATAATGCAATGTCTCTGTGTGTGTGTGTATATATATATATATTTATATGGCCTGATTTGCAACTGCAATCTTTGTTTCCCAAAGAGGAACCTTTGTCCTCCAAGTGGAGGAGTCCCCAGCCCATGGAGCGGGAGGCAGGGATGGTGTTTCCACCTCTGTCTGTGCCCGTCTGCCTCTTCCCAGCCCGGAGGCAGAGGGTTCTGAGGAGGGCTTGAAGGGGGATTGGCGACTTGTTTTAATTAATCTGGCCTCTCTTCAGAAGAGCTGTCAGCGAGGCTCAGCAGCCTGGCGCGCTGCCAGCTCCGCACTGTCACTGTGACAGCAGCTATCAGCTCAAACTGCTGCCTGTTTATGCCAGTCTGTTCCTCGGAAAAGCCTCTGAAATTGCCCTTGGGCGAGCACTGGAGGAGGTAGGGATGTGCACGCAGCGTGGACCTGCACCCACCCTCCGCAGCTAAGCCCCACCAGCACCGTTTGTGCCACAAGCTCGCTCCAGAGCTGAGCTTTTAGGCTCTGTCTGAGGTTGAGCCATGGTTCCTTCTGCGAGTGATCCAGAGTCTGAGAGATATCTGAGAGAAAGCAGCTTGGCTTTGCACACACAGACGTGCAGGCGTGCACCCCTCCTGCGCCAGGGCTGCGGCACTGGCAGAGCCTCGGCATTTCTCTCGGTGTCAGTGGGGACCCATAGGGGACTATTTTGCAACAGATTACATAGAAGAAGACTGGAAAAACCAGTTAGCAGGAGAAAACAATCCCACGTATTGACAAATGAGTCTTGCTGACTGCCAGCCCGGTGTTGGGAGTACCAGCTCCAGAGCCAGGGGTTGGACTCAGCGTCAGGGCACGGCTCCTGCAAACCTGCTGCAAGGGTGTCTCCCCTCACCCATGTCCTGCTGGGAAGGGGGCTGAGCTGGGTATCCGAGGCCAGGATCATGTGTCCAGGTCCCCTATTGTCTCCATGGCATTGGAGCAGTCCCTTCTGCTGTGTTGTCACCATCACAAGCTGCTCCCTGGCACAGGCCCTCCGTTGCTCTCTCTCAGCTCCTCTCTTCTCCCCCTCCAGGGAAAACGTTGAAACAGTGGTAAGCATCGAGGACAAGCAGGATACCATCACATCCAATGGTCATGAAACGAGATACCTAACTGCTGCAGCTGACTTCAGGTGAAGGACTTGCTCAGACCTCCTACCCATGGCTCCCAGGCTCTGCTCCATCCCCCTGGGGACCCCTCAGACATGCAGAGCCACGGTCTCTCCCACTCAGGGTTTCACATCTCTCATGTATCTGGTTTTAGGGCTTTTATCTTCTCCAGGGACTAAGCAGAAGGCAGTGAGGGTGTATCCCCTCCTTCCTGGTCTCTCCCCATCCCTGCAGCTGAGCCCCATGGTCCATCCACCACCTTGCAACTTGCTACACCACATTTTTCTTACACTACATCACACCTCTCAAACAGAGAAAATGACCAAAAGTGGCCATAGGTCACCACGCAGATGTTGACTGTCAAAACAGCCCTCGCTAGAAATTAGAGCAATTCCCACCCCACGCTTGGCTCTCCTTCTGGCAGGGCGACTCCTCCTGCCCTCCCCAGCTCACCCCTTGCTCAATGCATGGCAGGCACCAGCAAGGTCAGGGCCCTGGTGGTGCCTCTGGGAAGGCTGGTCTTGCTGGGAGTGAGCTCAGCGTTGTGGTTTTCCCTCCCGATGTAGGTCCAAAGAGAGCCAGCACGCCTACGAGAACACCCTGGAGGTCGAGGAGAGGGTGATCACCACCGCCATGTAGCATGTGTCCTGGCCGGCTGCCCTCCTTCCTCCTCTCACTTTGCTTCCTGCTGTCGTGATGGGCATTTTCACAGGGACCTTCTACACCGGCATCCCCCTTGCGCAGCGGCTTCCCGACCTCTCCACGGCACCACCATCTCCTGATCTTTTCCATTCCCACATTCAGGATGTGCTCTTCTGCCTCAGGGGCTGGTGTCCATGCAGGCATCGGCCCCCAGGAGAGGTCCCGAGGTGCCACCTCTCCTGCCTTGTGGTCACCCCACCTGGTCAGTGAGGTTGAGGTCCCCAGTCCCAAGGGGGTGCTTACCTGCTCCAGACATGGAGGGGTCCCTGCTGGGTGCCTGGGACCTCCCTGCACCCCCAGCCGCCCTCCAGGGAGCTGCCGATGGAAAACCCTCTCTCTTCTCCACATTTCACCCTCCTTTTTACAATATCATGCATTTTAATGTCAGAACAAACCTTTTCCCCTGTATATATCTTCCCTGTGAGCAATAAAGAGAATTGTTGCCCATATGACATCTCGCAGTGCTCCCAGCCTTCGGGCGGTTTGGGAAGGGAAGAACACCAGGGAAGGCGATGCCAGGGTGGGAAGGGTGTTAAGACAGTTGTCAGCACCCCCATCACCTCTGTGGTCCCTCCTGGGTAGGATCCATCTCTTATTTCCTCACCAGGATGAAGCCAAGAACACTTGCATGTGTCTGTGTGTCAATAGAGGAGAGAAAAAGGTGGAGTATTTTTTTTGCTCAGCATTTGGACCACCCCAGAGTGGCAAAGAGCTGTGTTGGGAGGAGACCATCATTCCCCTCCATTTGCCAGATGGGGAAACTGAGGCATGGCACCAACCCAGCTTTTCCCAGCGCTGCTTGACAGGTGAAAGGCAGCACTCCCTGAATCCCACTGGCCACAGGGCACAGACCCACAGCCAACAGGGGGCCATTCCCATGGCCGGAGGCTGGGAATGGCAATTGCTTCCCAGTGTTGCTGGGATGTGGCTCGGGGGCTGCTCCAGGCAGTGCTGATTCTCCTCGGGGTGTCCGGCCATGGTGCAACCAGGCTGTTCATTAACCAGGGTCTGTTTTTCACTGCGGTGGGGACAGCTCTGGGGAAATGCTTGGGACACCATGGTAGCAACAAGTGCTCCCAAGCTGGACATTTGCAGATTGAAGAGAGAGACCTGTAATGCCTTGGCCTTCCCTGGAACTTCACTAGTCCAAGAAGTGTGCAAGGTCCTCCCCTTGACCAGCAAGGAAAGGGTTAAGGGGCTCTGCAATCAAGGGGACCCCGGGGCTGCAGGTGGAGGAATGGAATGGGATGGGGGCATTTTTGGCAGCCCTTGGGTTTGGGGGGAGCAGGATAGTTTTGGGGCTCTGCTGTGCTTGGGGCTGTGCAAACGCGAGGGGGTGAGGTGGCAGGAGGACATGGCAGGAGGACATGAGGTGCCTGAGTCACCTCTTGCTCTTGCTTTCTGCTGTTGGATGTTGAGCTTGGGGCAAGAGGGGTCTTTAGACTTCTGTGAAATGGCAGCTGTGATGGGTTTGGGTCTGGGGGGAGCCCTGGCCTCTGCTCAGGAGGTGCTTTGGAGGCCCATTTGCAGGCAGTGATGCCAGAAACAGGCAGCTGGGGTGTTGGGGCTGGAGGTACCTCTGTCTCTCACTAGCAGAGCACCTGTTCTGCATGATTCAACCCTGAATGGGCTTTCCTGCTGCAAGGTCTGTCCCTTGCTCCTCTGCCTTTGCCAATGACCTTAAAAGCCCTGAGCTTCTCCTGGAGGAGGTGCTGCCCAGGCTTCTCCCCCAGGCAGGGGCTTGCAAAACACCGTGTTTTTCTAAACCACCAAAACCTGCTGAAGCGAAGCTACAACAGTCCTGGTGGGGAGCTCAGTCCAAAACAGGCCACTTCCCACTGCTAGGAACCCTCCAGGATGGAGCTGGGGGCTGGAGCTGGACCTCGGTGCTGCTGCGAGTTGCTGTTGTGCTTCCTGCAGGTGAAGCTGTCAATGTCCCTTGTGGGTGGTGACCCAAAAATTCTTGGGAGTAAGACAGGAGCCTTCCAGTAACACACCCACCCTGAAAGGCATCTCCCCAAAGAGCCTCACATAGGCAAGCATTTCGAAAATGCCCTCAAGACTCGGCATTGAGAAATCACAGCATCAGTTGAGAAATTGCATGGGGGTAGAATACAACAGGCGGAAGAGTTGGAGGGGTCAAGCCCTCAGGTGCAGAGGCACGATGGTTGCTGTCCCCAGCATCACGACAGAGCTGTTCCCTTCTACCACCTTCCCTTGGGCAGCTGGAGGCTGAGCCAGCCCCAGGCTGGGTCCTGGACCTCCCTACTCGTGCCCCTGATGGATGCTGCTCCCCAGACTTTTCTCTTGCAGGTGTCAAACGTTTGGAAAGAACAAGCTCCCCGGAGTTCAGCGGCAGTGCTTTGCTCAGCAGGGTTTAAGGAGGATTAGTCATTGCACGTTCCCGCCGTGTCAGCACTTGGGCTGGGGGTGTGGCGAGAGGAGGGGAAACCATTAATTTTTACCTCGCAGTTGCAAAAGGAGTTAGAAACAGCATCCCTATAATGAGTAACAGCAGGAGTTTATTCCCTGCCCTGTGCACACCCTGAATATGTGACAAATGCCCGAGCTGTTTCTCCGGCAGTGCCTGGATGTGGGTTTGGAGGGGAGGTGTGCCAGGGGCTCGGTGGGTCCCTTTCCCCATGGATCCTTCCCATGGTCATAGATGAGGCTTCACCGCTGTGTGTTTTGGGCTAGCCCCGGAACCTCAATGTTTGGTTTTATCCCAGCCAGTGCCCCTTCAGAGTTCACTTTCCTTGGAAAAACATCTTTTGCAAGAGACACTGTGTTACCTCCCCAGTGGGATCTCACCTCCGCACAGTCCCTGATGCCATCCTGCCTCAGTTTCCCTTGTCCATCAAGCATGACCCAAGGCTGGCTGTGCGAAGTGGGCTGCCTTCCCGTGAGCTGTGCAGCCGGCTCATGGCTGCTTCTTGGTGCAATCCTAAAAAGAACAAAAGGGAGCGAGCATAAATGAAATTTATTGTTGGAAAATCTTAATTAGATTTTAAGCCCCAAAGGGAGAAAATTGAGGTATTATCTGACACAGCTAATGAGTGTTAAGGGTCCATTGTTATATTTCTTGTTTACCTTTCTGTGCTGGCTGATACGGCCCGAATCCTCGCCTGTACTGCCATAATTAGGATATCTCATCTCTCGCTGATAGGGTCGGGGATGCTCTTTAAAGCACAATGCTGTCTCATCCCTCCCCGGCAGGATGAGCGTGTTTGGGAAAGCAACTTCTGGCGTCTCGGCGCTCGTGCCCATCACATTGACCCTATGAATGGGGGGAAGCCCTCCAGAGCTGGGGCTGTATCTGTTAGCCCTCAGGTGATGGGCATCTCCAACAGCCTTGGTGACCTCTCCAAAGGGCCCTGAGCCAACTTGCCTGGGGGAAAAATCCCTCCCAGTAGCTCCCTCCATGTCGCACAGGGGGTGACCCTGTCCTCACAAGTCATCCCATGGCCCCCGTGGGTACCCCATCCTACCCCTCACTCCGTAATGCTAGTATCTCTGAAGCCTGGGCTTCAGGAAGACGTTCAGGGTTGGGACCTGTTGTGGGCAGGATAGTCTCCTTTTGGGCAGAAGATATCCAGGGTTGCCTTTTTGCATTACCACCTTGTTACAAGATGTATCACATCTTTCCTTTGTGGCCTAGGAAGGTGCAACGCATCTCTTGGACCCCCAGATAATGGGACATCTTGTCTAAAGACACCTTTACTCTGATGCTTCCCTGATCTCTCCTGAGGCTCTTGAGCCATGGAGGTTTAAGATGTTTCTGTTTCAGCTGTGATCACAACGCTGGGGCAGCTCGAGCAGGTGGACACCTACCATATATATTATTCCAAGGTGGTTTAATTAATGACTTGCTTATGCAGGTAAACTGCTGCTGGAAGGATCGCCATCTCCAGCCCTGGCCACAAGCAACATAGCCCGGGGTTTATGTCCTGGCATTGGGCACCTTGACACCTAAGCGACCTGATTTGGACCTCCAGAAGCAAAAAGGGAGCCTGTTCCACCACTGCGATCCTTTGGGCCAGGGACGGAGCCCAGCCACCCAGGTGGGAGCCGGGAGCATGGTGTGTAGGGGTGGCTGTGTGTGGGCAAGGGGGCTGCAAAGTTTTTGGTCTCGATTCAAGACACTGAAAGCCAGAAGTAAAATACCATCCATTGTTGGTTTATACACCCGTAGTAGCCAAACAAACATCCCCGGAGCCTGTCCTTATCACTTTATTACACCTGCTAGAGTGAATAGATTAAAGAGTATGGGAGAGGGGGGAGAAAGCAGAAGAATCCAGCAGAAAAACTGGGTTTTGGGATTGTTAATTATTCTCTGGGGTCTCTAATCTTTAACTGGCAAACAGCATCACTAACTGTCTTAAAGCCCCTCCTGGAACATCCTGATAATAAGCCATCTGCATGAAGGCACCCCGTTATCTGCCCTCCTCCAGCCGCCTGTGACATGGCTGGAGTGGGAGATAATGAATGTGTGGTGTGTAATAACGACACGTCATTCATGATTATCGGCCTGATACCCAACCTTTTAGCTCCATTGTTTGTGCTTCAAAAAAGAAGAAGAAAAAAAAAAAGGAAAAGAAAAAATAAAAAGGAGGAGGGAAAGAAGAAAAAGGGGAATTTTTGGTGCTACGGGCTGCCCCGGGGTCCCTGAAGTGTCTCCCTGCCAAAGGGGCTGGCTCTCATAGCATCTCCCAGAGGGTTTGGTGGTACCCTGGAAGGACTCGCCCATGGATTGGCAGCTGCTGTAGCCATGGTGATGGAGGGAGAGAGCCGAGACAGCACAGAAATGTCACCGCCTGGCAGGGAGATATTTGGGGCAAATGTTCGGGCGATTAGATCTGTGTCACCGGGTGCTGCCCAGCTCCTCGCGCCGCTTTTTGCTGCTCTTGAAGCCGTTTAGCGGTGACTTGGCTGAGGAGGTTATCTTGAACACGCTGCTGTCCAGAAACTGCCAGCGTTTGAAGGCGGGGGGGATGTTTGGGTTGCCCATTTTGACCTGGTAAGTTGAAAAGCAGAAGAATTTTCTCCTGGTTGCTGCTGCATTATGGCTCCACAATGCATAGCTGCTGAGAGACCTTCTCCCAGAAGCTTTGGTCCTTCCAACTGCAAACCTGGGTTAAGCATGATTCTTAACGGAGAGGGACTTTAAAGTGTTTGGCTCAGCTTACCTCAATTATTGCCAGAAATGCCTGGAATAATGATCCATTTTTTGCACCAAAAATGGAAGTATTTTCTCCTCTCTTTCCCGAGCAGATTTCCCAGAGGGGTTTCCCCGGAGAAGGTCTCCGCTGGAAGTGGTTGGGGTTTGGCCATTTGTAACAGTCAGGAAGATTCTTGGAAACCAAACAAGCAGCATCGGTCATGGCAGTGAATAGGGTGATGGCCTCAAAACATGGGGCTGGGAGGCCAAGCAGGGCACTGAACAGACACAGGGATGGGCAACAGCTGTGGGTCCTCACCAGATCAAACTTTTCCTGCTCTGGCCTTATTACCCCATGCCCAAACCAGAAGATGCTGTAGGGACATCTGCAGGTGCCACCTGGTTTCCTTTACAACCCACCACCAAGGAGACTGGGCAGGTCTTTGTGTCCAAGCGCTCCCCAAATCTCGTTGCTTGGACCACAAGCTGGAGAGTGGATGAGCAGAGCTGCAAGGTGGCTTGCTTCTTCCCAGCTGAAATATCTGACAAATAGGGCCAGTAATGAAAAGCTGCAACAAACTGCTGCCCTCCAATGGCCTTGCTGTGCTGGAGCTGAGGAGGAGAAGAGCTGGAGTCTGACCTTTGAGATGAGCCTGAGTCCACTGGTGGTACAAGGGTGGTGGCACCAGCACCTACACAACCGGCGCCCAGTCTCTTCCTGGGGTGAGAAGGGAAGGGAGTGGGGAGAAGAGGAACTCAGTCTCCAGCAGCCTCGCAAAATAAATACAAGCTGCACCTTGCTGGTTATTCACAGCATCCCTGTCCCATTAGGTACCCAGACAGCCAAAATGAAGGTCCGGATCCCGCCCTGGAGGAGTTTTGTTTCTCAAACTGAAGATGCAGCAGGCTGCAGAGGCGGGGAACAGGGGGCTGTGGGGTTTATTCAGATGTGGAGGTGCTCAAATTTGGCTGGCCTGGCCTGGCCATCAGCAGAGGTGAGCTGCCCAGACAGATGGGTACGGTTTGGCTATGTTAGTGCCTGCAGTGATGCTGGTAATCCTATTGCCATGGGTGAGAGCTGGAGGAACAGCCTTGTCTCTCACCATAGAATGGCACGTGTGCAGCCCTCCATGCCTCAGTTTCCCTTGGTGCCTGCTGAGGGCCTGGGCCCTGGCAGTGACAAGCTTTCCCTGTGCCATGGGTAACACCACCGTGGTGCTGGGGACTGTGATGGAGCAGCGCCTGCTCTGCTGCCCTGCAGGGCTGAGGGTGGGGATGGGGATGCCCCAGGGAAGGGGCCCATCAGCTGCCCTACTGAGCCTGGCCATGCTCCCTGCTAAGCCCAGGTGGTTCTGCCAGGGACCAGGGAGGACTTTGGGTTTTCCTGGGTCTCCCACTGCCACCTAGTGATCCATTTCCCACCCCAGACCTGCAGCTGACCCAGCTCACCCCTTTGGCTTAGAACCCCACCTATGATCCATGCTGGAGGGAGGGCCTGCAATAGGTCCCTGCACACCCAAAACAAGCCCAGCCCCAGGGCCAACGCCCGCCTGCACCCTTGGGCAGCTCACTCATGAACTGAGTGGTCAGTTCTCAGCCTCTGCAGAAAAGGGCTTGATGGGTTTGTGCTCCCTCTCGGGACTTTTTCTTTTGCAAGCTGATTTTGTTCTTGCCACCAGCACTTGGGGGGTGATGGTGGTGATGATTTCTGTTTTGCTTTGTTTGACCCCAGATTGTTTCAGCTGTTTTCTTACCATGGAAACTCCTGGAGGAAGAGGCGAGAGCTTGGTGACCCATGGGGTGGGAGGGGTGGAAACAGGCTCCTCAGGCTCAACGGGGTGGCAAACCCGCTGAAACAGCCCTTGCGGCTTGAGAAAACACTCACAGGGCTGCACCCTTGGGCACAGCCTTGCCTCTGGGCTGCTGGGATTTATCCTGTACACCCTTTGCCCCCCCAAATGCAAAGGAAGCCAAAGCCATGCTTGGGGAGCATCTCCACAAGGCTTTATTCTCATTTCAGAGGGGAAAAGGCTGATCACACATTGCTTTCAGCATGGTGAGTGCTTTCTCCAGGTTAGCCGGTGACTAAGCCGGTGTCTCTGTGCTGACTCCTGAGCACCTTCAGCTCGAGGAAGTTCAGCGCTGGGGCAGAAGAACCCACTGGCCTTCATCTCCATAATGGCGTGCACAGTGCCAGCCCCAGAACAGATCAGGGGGAATAATTTGGGGGGTGGTACATGGTGTTGCAGTGTGGCTGCAGGGAGGAGCCCGGCGCACCCAGTTTGGAGGCAGGGGAGGGACATCGTGCTCGGGCAGCGTCCAGGATTTAGACACTCATGCAAACCACACTGGCGTTGCTCACTGCTGTGCCCAAGCAGGGAACTGACAATGCTGCAGATACACAGGCAGGTGACAGAATTCCCGCCAGGAAGCATGCGAGGGCAGGTTGGAGGTGAAGCGATGAGTAGGACATGGAGGATGCCTGCAGAGGTGAAGGCTGAGCCACAGCTGTGCTGCAAAACCCACTTGGCAGTGCTGCTCCCCGTGCAAGGATGGGACCTGGACCTGCTGGCTTTGGTGTGTGTGCAAGGGGGCTCAGTGTGCCCCCCTGGCCAGCAGCAGGGAGGGAGGCTAATGTGGGAGAGGTCTGAGATGGCCAGGGTGGGTATGTTTGGTGTCCCGCTCTTAGACTTCTGGGTGGAGGGTAGTCCTTGGGAAAGTGCTTGTCCCCCACCGTGGTACCCCACAGGGTCAGTGAATCTTCTTCAGATGCAGGTGGATCCCATTGCTGGACCTGAGGACAATCTGTGGTATCAGTGCAGGAGGCTTGGATGGATTGGTGCAGAGCTCGAAGCGGAGCAGGGTCAGGGCCACTGCCACCTTCATCTCATTCATGGCAAACTGCTGCCCGATGCAGTTCCTGAGGAGAGGATGACAAATGCTCCTACTGCAGCCTTCATCCCCAGCCGCCCCAGAGCTGGGCTCAGCCCATGTGTGAGCTTCCTGAAGCAGCACCTTTGGGGTGCTGGGGGGCCTCCAGCTGCTGCAAGGTTGATGCCACAGCTTATCTAGGAATCCCCTCATGCCACACCAAAATGCACCCAGCTCTGTGGTGGGGTATTGCTGTTGTTTGTTAATGAGCTTTGAAAAAAAAATATGAAATAGCGAGAACTGGGGATTTTTTCACTGGATCCAGCTTCAAACCCAGACACCTTAGAAAGGTTATTTTCAACTCTGTGTGGAGTATCTCCTCTTGCAAGCTACTGAGACCTCAGCGTCCTGCGTCTGTCTATTGATACAGCATGAGAACAACAGACACTTGGGCCCAGCTTGGCTTTGAGGTGTACTGCCTAAACAAGTGAGACCACGTTCTTAGTGCAGACAACAGAAAATGTAAATATCTCCACAAATTTACAAGAAAAGTGTGTGAGACTCTACAGTGACCACGGAGCTTGGGGTGTGGGAAATGCTCTGGGGCTGATGGAGCATAGTGGAGATCCTGTTATGGAAAGCCACTTGAGTTGGCATGGTCAACTTGGCTCATGGGTACTGAGGGAGGATTAGCTTCAGGAACTTGGCTCTGAGCTAGGTCTCCCATGCAAAGCAGCCTACAGGGAAGGAGAGGGATGAAGGATCTCCCACCTGGATCCAGCAGAGAAAGGCAGGAAAGCATGGGAGTGCCTCTGTGCTGAGTTCTCTGGAGAAAATCTCAGGGGATCATACACCTGTGGGAGAAACAAAGGCTGTTTGGTCAGTGTTGGTTCTGACATGAGCAGCTTCTCCCCTAGTCTCCAAGGTAGGGACGGATGTGGCCTCTGCTGCCCCAGAGGAGCTGCAGCTGACATTCATCCCTCTGCAAAGCCAGCCAGCTGGATGAGAAGAGGGCACTGATGGCCATGCGAATCTTGCCCTTGGAGATATATCCAGATTACCCACTATGGCGTCTAAGATGACTGCAGGCATTTTTTCAGCCATGGCAGCAATGATCACATCAAGTCAGACTCCCTCCTATCCTGAGGTGCCCAATCCTTCCTCTCCAGAGAGCCACTGGAAAGAGGCAGCCTGCAGACCATCCTTCAGGTTTCCCAGCTCTTTCTTTCATTGAAGCCTCTAAGACATCAGCTTCAAATCACACAGTGCTTGGAGGGCTTGGAACTTCTGCCACTCTGGGACCGAAGTCTATCCGGGGAAGCTGAAGCAGACTATCTCTGTGTCACCATGCAAGAAGATAGAATATTCAACACCCTTTCCCAGCACTTTGTCATGTTCAAAGCCTTTGGGGTGTTCGGTAACTTCATTGAATTTTGCATTTAGAGATGGACTATTAGAATAAGAGGGAAAAAACCCCAAACATGTCATGGAGGCACAGGATGCCTTGTTCAAGGGGAGTGGATGTCTGGGCTCAGAGATCATCTTCCCCTTCTTGTTATAAAGGTAAAATACCTCGGGGTCTTCCCACACATCCCGATTCCTGTGAATAGCAAATATGTTCAGTCCAACCTGGCAGCCTGGAAAAGAAAAGTGAGAAAATGCTGGTGACAACTCAGAGTGAAGACCCAGGAGAGATGTTTGTGTGATGTTCTCCCTCCCTGGGCTCTGCAGGGGCTGTTGCAGGAGATCTGACAGGGACGATGCCCCGCCTGTCCATGCAGGTCACCTCCTGAAACCCTCAGAACTGGGCCCCATTTTGGTACTGGTGGATGAACTTTTAGTCTTGGCCAGGATCAACACTATGCAAGTCCCCTTTGAGCAATGTGAACACCCCAGTGCCCTGGAGCATGTCCTTGGATTCTCTTCAGCCACCCTTCTGGGAGAGTTCTGATGGTGAGCTGTGGTGGCCTTGTACAGCTCTTTGGAGAGAGAAGAGGCTAGACGCCCCACCAGCCCCTCCACACAACAGCTCTACAAACGATGCCCCACTTGTCATGGACAGCAGCGTGAAGGATCAACAAACTCAACAGACCTGCTGGCAAGCTGCGTCCATCAGAAAATGTGACAGATTTAGAGAGGTATCGGGACACAAAAGGAACTGGTGGGAACAGGCGCAAGCTCTCCTTGATACACATTGTGGTGTAAGCCATCTTCCCAAGGTCCTCCCTGAAAGCAAACCAGGGAGTCAGTCTGTGTTTGAGTGGCAGCAATGAGGACACCAGCAATGGGGACTGGGTGGGCAGGACCACCGTATCTCTCGTCTCCTCTTGGGGTTTCTCCTTCTCCTAGTATTACCTTTGCTGCCAGCATTGCTATGTGAAAAGCAGAATGCCCCTGTGCAGACGCAGTATAAGGTGGATGAAGTTTTCTTCTCAGGATGAGAAGAGTGATGTCCCTGCTTACTGCAGGGGGGTTGGACTAGATGACCTCTGGGGTCCCTTCCAACCCAAAACATTCTATGATTCTATGAAAAGAGTTCAAAGTAAAGGAATAAGAAGTCCTAGCTCACCACTCAATGGTATCTCGGTCTCCCAAGATCCCCTGGATCTCCTCCCTGCACCGTTGCTGGTACTTGGGATATAATGACAAGCAGTAGAAGAGCCAGGAGATCCCGCTAGCTGTGGTATCATGACCTGCAAACATGAACGTGTCCACCTCGGCACGCAGGTCCTCATCAGATAGCCCAACTCCATTTGCATCCTAACAAAGAGGAGAGTATATCATTCTCAAGTGCACATTAATTGGACTTGCTCCTTTCGGTATAAAAATAACCCCAGATGCTGATGAGAAAGGGCCCGATTCAGCATCTCTTGTATCTCCCTGTACATCAGGAATTAAGCCAGTAGAAAATATATCCAATAGAGGTGAGAACAGATGACCTCTGGGGTCCCTTCCAACCCAAAACATTCTATGATTCTATGAAAAGAGTTCAAAGTAAAGGAATAAGAAGTCCTAGCTCACCACTCAATGGTATCTCGGTCTCCCAAGATCCCCTGGATCTCCTCCCTGCACCGTTGCTGGTACTTGGGATATAATGACAAGCAGTAGAAGAGCCAGGAGATCCCGCTAGCTGTGGTATCATGACCTGCAAACATGAACGTGTCCACCTCGGCACGCAGGTCCTCATCAGATAGCCCAACTCCATTTGCATCCTAACAAAGAGGAGAGTATATCATTCTCAAGTGCACATTAATTGGACTTGCTCCTTTCGGTATAAAAATAACCCCAGATGCTGATGAGAAAGGGCCCGATTCAGCATCTCTTGTATCTCCCTGTACATCAGGAATTAAGCCAGTAGAAAATATATCCAATAGAGGTGAGAACAGTCAGACCCGCTGACTGCTGACTCTGCAGTCAACAGAGCTACAGAGTTTGGCTTTGGTGGAATACCAGATCCCAGCCCTTCAGAAGGACACCCTATTCGATCCCCTACCAAGGGTCCCTGTTACTTTTTTCAGTAGTATGGTTTGGACAGCTTTTGTTTCACAAACACAAAAGAAAGCAGTGGCTCTAGAAAGACAGGGTGAACACAGTGTATCTCCTTCCTGAACACCAAGTGGCAGCTTCTGTCCAGACTATCTGAAGGTGTCTGTGAAGGTAAAACTAAAGAAGGTAAGAAATAAAACCTCTTAAGAGGACTACAGCCAAGGTGGCCTCCTTGCAACCTTTCCACAGATCTCATTCTTCTCTGGTTTCTGACAGCTCACTTATTTTAAAATATTAATGAGCTCAATGAAAATGGACAAGGAAGATGAAAGTCTGCCCGAGCTATTTACATGCAATCACTGCATCTTACACATTTGTATTTTCTTCCCTTCAATCTACCTTTCCCTGAGCTAGGAAATCTGGAGTGCAGAAGCTGTTGCCAGCAACTCCAGTGAGGGGTGCTGAGCTCCCTGCTGATGTGTCCTCAGTGCCATGCCAGGTATGTTCTTTGGCATTTGATATGATTATCTCAAACATTCACCTTGGTACAAAGGAGAATGTCCAAAAAATCCAGGTGTTTCTTCTTCTGGATCTTGTCAAGTTCCTTCTCACTGGAAAGCAACATCTTTCTTTCCTTTATTACTTTATCTGCAGAGAAGAATGATCAGTTAGATGCATCCCGCCCCTCCAGAGACCTCACGTACTTGTCCACTCGGTCAGCAGCTTGGACTCTGTTTAATGTATAACCCTCTGGCTACTGCATGCTGCAGCTGCCCTCTGAGCTGCTCCAGATACGAGTCAGGGAGAGGCTCCGCTGGGAGACAGGGCTGAGGAGAAAAGGGGGAGAAATACCCGTGTGGCTATGGGCCAGCTTGCAGGCATCCTGAAAGTCACGGCCTTTGCGAGTCAAGTTGTAGAAGACATCCGTGTAAGAAAAAGTCCGAAGTCGATTGCTCACGAGGTAGCTCAGGTCATAAACAGCTCTGATATAATAGTCTGAGTTGCTGTAAGGCGACCAAGGTTAAAGCTGGTGTTAGCCACGCGAGTAGGGAAACAGGAGCACTTGCTTTCCCAGAATTCGAAAGTTGAGGCACTGACCTCTGAGTCTGGCAGCTGGTATTATAACTGAAGGCGCATTTCATGATGCTGTCTAGTGTCATCAAGCTGACATCTTGAAAGAGCTCCACTGACTTCCTCTGTGTGCTCTTCTTTTCCCATTTATCCTAGTGGTGGAGACAGGGGTCAGGAGGGACAGCCTACCATCTACGATCAGCTCATATTTTCCTGTCTCCCTTCCCAGATCCACACTGCTAATGACTTTTCTTTTCTGCAAGCAGAGGCCCTAGTTCACTACATATTCTGTGAATCAAGCCAAACTCTTCTGTGCATTTATTTTTCCAGGTTTACCATTACTGGGATAGGAAAAGATATTCTAGCAGTGGTTGATTTTATTGGAAAGCAGATGAAAGAGAGGGTAAGTGAAATAGCCAGTGGAAGGTGAGGGGAGCAATTTCAGAACTGCAAAATTACCCAAAAAGTTCAATGAAACTGCAGGAACCATCTAAGTCCAGTGTCTTTCCCTCAGTCATTCCCAGACCTGACTATTTTTGCTAGTGCACAGCTGAAACGTAACAGTAGCAGGAGTGGTGATTCTTACCAGCATCACTTTGACCGAGTCTGACATCAGGGCCACATAAGATTTCAGCACATCATAATGAAAGGCCGGGGTGAGCAGCTTCCGATGCTGGAACCATTTAGTTCCATCCAAGATCAACAGCCCCTGCCCTGGAGACACAATCAGCAAAGGCACAATCAGCTCCTCCAGACTCTGATCATGCCTCGGACAGCCTCACTACTGCTTTTGGCCAAGCACATGATCTGGGGGGAGAAAGATCTGGTGGTGGAGCCTTTTCTCCAGCCTCTCTGAGGCCATTCACAGTGGCACTCTTTGGATGGAGGAGAAGCATGCTCGCATGTCCTTCACAGCAACCAGCTGTGCACACCTAATCTACCCCAAAAGCAAGACCTTGATGACAGAGGCATGGGACTTGCTCTCTCAGATGGGTTTTTCTGCCTTAAATTAAATACTTGGGTGCCTTTTGCAGCACACACTGACAGTTGTTAGCAGGACCCAGGAGGGCTACTTCAATGCTGTGTGAGCTATGAACCCCGCTGTCCCTGGTGTGTCTCACTCCAGTTATCCATGATAGCATTGTCTCTGAGCAAATTGAAGGTTACTTTGTGAAGGCCAGGGTGTGTGATCCAAGGCAAGACCACCTGATGCGCTCCATGACTAGGTGGGCACCACTGATATGAATGCTCACATCTGAACAAACCCTCCCATTTGCAAGCTCTGGTTTTAGAATGGAAGAAAGCAAAATAAAGGAAGACAAGAGGAGTGAATGAAATGTGCAACACGGTGGAAAGGGATAATGGAAGAGAATGATTTACCAATCCAGGGAACTATGAATTTGTAGGGTACACTGGGCTTGCGATCTGTAAAACAAAATAGATACCAGAACCACATGAATGGCTAACGAATTCAACATAACAAAAAAGAATGTTCAGGATGAAACGACATTAAAGCTCATCCTCTAAATCACAATGTAGAATTAGTCTTGTTTCAATATGTAAAATACTCTAATACTACAGGTAGAGTTTAAAATTCTTCTTCTACAAATATGACCTCAGTGGACTTGAGAAAAACAGAGAAAGTTATAATGAAAGTTGTGTGTGGAAAAGAAATGGCCATGGCAAATCTCAAAGTTGAGAAAAATGGATGGGAGTTACTGGAGATGCTCATGTGTGTACCACTCACAGGCATCATACTCCACAGAAAGGAGCAGAGGAGAAGACTTGAGATGTCTTCTGAGAGCCATTGCCATGCCAGCTCACCCATATTACTGGGTTTACTGAGTTTACTGGGCAGCACAGCTATTGTGGTGGTAGATGACACAGAAGACAATAAGACCAATGACAGTGGAGACAATGGCCTGAGAGGAACAGGCACGTGGTGACTGTCTGGCATGAGAATACAAACTATTCCATGAAACCTGGGGTGGTCTGTGAGTTTGCAAAGGCACGCAAAGGAGGAATTGCTGTGAAGGAAGCCAGCAAAGGGAGTGACTGCAGGCAAGGTTCCTGTGATTTTCTCGGTAGGGAGACACGAGGACATGACTTCCCAAAATCAGATGTAGACACTTACCCGTTCGGCCAAGTATGGTTTTGGCATATTCAGGATGGTGGATTACCAGAGAAGGCAGAACTGGTCCAAGCCACCTGGGAAAGGCATAGGGGTATTCTTCAGCCCACAACACCATCTGATTTAATACTTTATCCGCAGTTATCTGCAATGACAGTTAAACAGGGACTGAATGCAGGCATAAGAGGGATGTGCTGGGGAGAGCAGAGGCTAAACTTGCCCTCTCATGGAAAACACATGCAAGACATCCTCTCCTGGGAAATGGGGAGAGAGTGGGCAGATTTGCCACAGGGGGGGTTTCCATGCTGCAGGTGGAGGAGATGCTGGGCATGGCAAAGGGACCGTGCACAGGTGGCAAAGCTGCTTGAGCCACCACATTCCTGCAGCACAAGGCAGCTCCATGGAAAGTCCTTAGCTGGGCCTGGCTGCAGTTGAGCTGCGTTAGGACAGCCTGGGCTCGGAGCAGCATGGTGCGCCAGGATGCCCAGTGAACAGGCCAGGGGGACCAAGGCTGTTACACCTCTGTTCTTTAAATTCAGCAGTGCAAGGTGGGCATGCAACGTGAAAGCAAAAATATCTTCACTATAGAAGGATGAAAATGGCTGCAATAAAAAGCCCTGCTTTTGGGGCCATGTCTTCTTAAGTGGCTGTAGGGGGACAGACTCTTACTGGTAGAAGGTTTAATGCAGAAGAGAGACATTTTATGGCTGCTCATATTTAAATAACTTCATGAAAGTCCCAGAAATCACCTAACTCCATGTTTAAGCACATGCTTGAAAACAATGTGGCTCTGTTTTTTACCAAAATGACGCTCATCTCATACCCAGGCACCCTTTCCGCCTGCTTTGGCCCTCCCTGTGCAGAGGTCCTCTCCTGTCGGAAAGGTCAGGAGCAGGGGACATGCGCACCCCACCCGGTGTGCCCTCTCATCCTGACTGATACCTTCCACGTTGTTGTTGAGACAAACCCACCCGGACTGAGTCCAGCTCCCTCCTTACCAGGTGATTGTGGCCATAGAGCCAGTGTTTCGGGGGACCAGGGAATGCCTCCAGAGCTTTGATGAGTTTCTTCCTCTCCTGGCAGAACTGGGCCACCTTCAGCAGCACAAGGATGACACCAAGCACCACAGACAGCTGCAGAACGACAGCAGAAGGTCTGGCTATGTTGTCCAGCAGAGACACCATGCTGGCCCTGCATCCGGGATGCCTGACACTGCCTTCTCCTGGCTGCTGCTCTTCAGCTCCTCCTGTGCCTGATGGGGAGCTGGGTGCAGGTAAAAATCCTCTCCCTCCTGCTCTGCTGGAGCTGAGCCTGGTGAAGCACTGCTGGCAGCAATTTATAGCAGCAGGAACATCACGGTAAGCCATGCATCGGTTTGGCCGGCAGCCCAATTGCCTGCTGCTCCCCCCCACCCTTTGCCCTGCTCCCAGCAGCCTGTGGATGCAGGCAGCTTGTTAACAAACAACCTGTACGCGTTTGCCACTTTCTCTGAAGCCCCACACAGCCCAGCAGTGAGGGAAAGCACTTGCAGTCGTCCATTCCCGGGTAGATGAAGCCATAGGAGGTAAGAAGAGCCAGGCTGAGCTCTAGCTAAGCTCCGTGCTGTCCTCAGACAAATTCAGGTCTGGCAGCCATTCATCAGCCTGCATGAAGTGAGGAACAAATGGGCCACCTTTGCCAAACACACAGGCTGGATGGATCCGGCTGCCTCCAGCTGTAAAAACAGTGATCTGAGTGACTGCAACATCACTTGGACTATGGCTGGACTACAATCCAGAGAACGGACATAACCCAATCAGCACACAAGGGACTGTGGCCCTGCTCTCCAAGAGGTCCTACCGTAGACAAGCCAGGAGACAAAACTGTTGCCCAGAAGAATTATCATGGTCAATAGATAAGACAGGGAGAGGGAGAGGAGCAGAGCAGTAAAAGGAGCTGCAGCAAGACTGAGGGCATGTCTAACCTGATAGAGAGATGTGATGGTAAGGCCATGTTCCCTCCACAGTCCTGGTGCGTCCTCCTTCCCCTGTCTACACAGCATCTCACCATCCTCCAAAAAAGGCTCCACATCACCACATTTACCTCTCCAATGCAGTGCTTGGTTGGGCCCCAGGTAGAACCCCTTCTAGCAATCCCTGCACAGATCCTGCTGGTTACCTGGCACAGAAGCCTGGAATGGCTTGGAATTGCAGGGTTAGTAAGCCTGCTGCGTGTGGGTGACTTCCAGGCATACTGCAAAGAGTAGGATCCCCAGATGAGCTGAAATAATATCCCATTTGGGTGTTGGGATATTACGAAGACCAAATGAGTTACCAGCTGCTGACGCTGGTAGAAAAAGTCTGATGTGCTACTACATAGGAATTGCTGAATTTTGTGGTGTTTCTCTTCAACTTGACATGTCTCTGAGACAAGGGTCTTCTGATGTTTAGGCACTTCCCTTTAGTTTTTAGTCTAAATTATGCCATGGCCAACTGAAACCCATGTTCTCTGCTAGTGGAGTCATTTTACTGAAAAAAATACTGTTTATTTGGCATTCATTGTCCAGATGTATCCTTTTTATAATGAAAGAGACACTAAGATTGCTGGCTGAAGTGAACGCAACCCCAGTGAAAATATTTAAACTTTTTAGACAGAAAGGATACATGAAAAAATCTTACAAGATCCATTGTTTGGGAATTACCTGACTCCACAAAAACGTCTGAATGTTAATGAAGTAACTTTTCCCTCAGCTGGCTTGTGGCCTATTCGTTAATTAATGATGGCAAAGACACAAGCCCTGGGTACACACAGTACCATTTGTATTTCAGTCTCAGGGACACTTAAAGCGTCTGGCTGCTACAACCCTTGCGAGAGGCTGTAGATACATTGCTCATCCACTGTGGTATGTTGGTCATTGCAAACAGACTGAAGGTCGTGGTGTTTGCCAGTTTGAGTGTAGCATGGGAAGGTGCCCAGCTGCGAAAGCTGGACTCATCCTGCGCTCCTTGAGAGAAAATTCAACAAACTACAGAATTGCTTAGGTGTGGTGCATGGCACTCCTCAAGAAGTGTTGCTAAAGCAACCCCCTTTTTGCTTGAAATCTTTGCATGCAACTTCTCTGAGCTCTCAACCCTTCTTGGGAGCTCACAGTGTAAAGCCCCATATCTCAGGGCATTTGGGACAGTTTTACTCTGGATCCGTGTGGATTCCCTTGCTGAAATGCAACAATCTAATTCAGCATGGCTTTTTTTTCTCTTTATGGGTGGGTACACTAGTGCAGAGAGCAGGAAGACTCTCTTGACCCTCTTTTCCAACACAGGCACCGCAATGTTACCTGTGGGTCTTTGTAAGGGAGAGGACTTGTCCTCCCTGCCACACAGCTGGAGGATATTGAGTGCTGTTCAAAGACTCAGCCTCATAGCTGAATGGTTCATAGAGGGACTTGGCAGGTTCATGTGGCTCCACCTTCACGTCCCTTGGCGGGGTGTTTGACTGTGCATCCCACTGCTGCTGACTCCTACTGGAAGTTCAGCTGTGGATTTTCTGGGTAAACATCGATCCCTCTGCTGACATTAGCTAGTGTGGTGGTATGTGGTCTCTGTCATGTGCATCATCACCTTGTTCTCAGGTTGTGATAAGATATTTTGTAAATGCTCAGGCATGATGTGTTGGAAGGGGCCGTTTCTAACAGTGGCCTCCAGCTCCAGCAGTGATGATATTTCAGGAGCTTCTCACATGCTTATCCTGAGGTTGGCAGCCTGGACATTTCCACATAAGATGGGACGAGAATGCTGACATTGAGACCCCTGCCCATTGTGGGTACCCAGGGCACAAAAGGCACTGGGCATGTCAGCTGGCCAACAGCCAGCTCCTACTGTGTTGAAGTTTGGGCTGAGGAGGGGGGTCTGTTCATTACTTCTTCAAGCTGGTAGTAGAAGCCTGCTCTAGAAACACACTTTGCTCTTGAAAGACATCAGCTCTATGATCTACTCTTAATCTGTTCCTGGGCTGCAAATACCCTTTTGCTAGTCTGCCAACATTGTCTATAGCGCTAAGTTTCTTCGGCACTTCCCTAGAAATAATGATTGCATAAGTTCCTTAGCTGGATAAGGGGACCCGGTCAGCACTATAGCTGTCCATGTGGCACTGGTCTTTTGTTAACATGGCAGGAAGATGTGCTGCGAAGAGCCAGTGACCACAGCTGAAAATCTCCTCTATCTCCTCACTCAGGTGCTTTGGCTGGAAAAGCCTGGTCCTAGCACATTTCTTGAGCTCCCCAGTGAGCACATTTCTTGAGCTCCCCTCAAGTGGACCCCTGTAACCTACTTTAAGATGGTGCTTTTGGTTCTTCAGACTGGGAAGAAGAGGAAGGAGGAGTTATAACCTCTGGCTGGCATTTGTCATCTTGTTTTCTCCCCATCACCACTGCTGACATGCTGCATCCTTTGGGCCACAGCCTGCTAAGTCATTAGAACCACATCAGTCAACAATTTTAAAATGTAAGGAACACGCTGACTCTCCATGTGTTGCCTTGGAGAACATCCCTGGCAGGCACTGCACTGCATTAACTTTTCACACACTTGGCCATCTTCATGAGGCTAAGCGCACCTCGCTACGCCAAGCCAGCTGGATCTGTGCGAAAGTTCAGGGCAGAGTTAAAGGTAGTTCTTTAGGGGGCAGAAGGCTGCAGTCTGTCAGGTTAGGCATTTCTTAGGGAAGGCTTTGACTGTGGCCAGAGCAAGATGTCTCACAGATCTCACAGATCTGCTGTGAGAACTTCACACTCCTGAGCAGGAGCACTGGACTCCAGGGACCTCACAGCCATGGAAAGTGTAGGAGACACATCTTGTTCCTCTAGCTTTTCCTGTGATCCTCCACCTGTCCTGCAGCACCACGATTAATAGGCTTCCCATCTGGAGAGGAGGCAGTGGAGTCTGGCTGGCTGGTTTGTTGGCCAGGTGGCTGGGAAGCATGTGGGTTGCAGTTGTTCGGGAGGCTACTGCTGAGGTTTCTTGGCTACCTGAGGACCTGGAGAAGGATGAACATGCAGCACAAGGAGCCACTTTTGGCCTGAGCCAGATCTGTGGTTTTGCAGGCTGCCTTGAAAATGTGGGTCTGGCTTAAATAGACTGGGCAGACAAAGGGTGTGGGGACAGTGATATTACCGTGTGCCTTCTCTTGTTACCAGATGAGGTCACAGAGAGGATTTGGACAGGTCTGCCATGATGCTTGGGATTAAACTTGAAGCTAGGTTCAGTGATGTAAGCTACAAGAGACCCCATGCCCCATCTGCAAGGCATTATGGGCTCTGCCCCAAAGCTGTCCATCTTCCACATTTTTTTTCCTCTCAGCCAGCTCTAAAATGGCCTTTAGGCTCTTTCAGAGACCGCCCTCTAGGAAACAGCGCATGGACACCTAACCTCTTGTCTGGTCTTGCCCGTGACTATGGATGGGAGAGAAGAGAAGAGGATCTCCATGGAGCTGAGGACATTGGAAGGAGGGATTGCTGCTGTGGGTCCCTCGTGTGATGACCTGCAGCACACTCATAAATCCAGCAGTGTCATATGGTTGGGTGCCTTACAAGGGCCACGTAAGAAACACAAGGAAGAGCTGGGGGTTAAGCTGTTGGTTAGCACCAATGGAGCTTTGGGGTGTCCTGTGGCACCTACCTAGTTACCAGACCGCCTGATCTGGATCTGGCAGGTATCTTTCAGCAGTCACCTACAAAACAATTCAGAAATCCCCCAAGACCCAAAAGCAGAGGGGTCAAGCTGGTGAAATTGTTGGCACAGCATCACATGAAACTTTTATAAAAACACAGAAATTCTCACTGGTGACAAAGTCCCTGGATGATGTGTCTGACCATGGGTTACTGAGCAGGGTGGATTTTTACCCATCTGGCTCCCTGATAGTTATTTAATAACCAGTAACCACTGTTGAGCATGAAGCCAAGGGGATATGGGTTATTTTGAAGGTCAAGTGAGATGTCAAGCCTCTCATTTGAGATAGGGGAGACATAGGGGACGGCATGGCTAAACCCACATTTGTAGGGATTTGGAACAAGAATCTGAGCTTGGGTGATAGCAAAACTGGGTGCCTAATCCAGTCTCTGCATTTTCTGTTTCGCTGGTGGAGGGGAGATAAACATCTTTCTCGCCTATTTCAGACATTTCATGGCATGCACATTTAGTCTGACACTCTTTAGGACAGCTTGGGTATGGCAACTCAGGGTTTTTTTCAGGGGAAGAAATGGTGAAAGTTCAAAAGAGAAAGTGAAGTGACCACAGAACCGAAAGTGGAGAAAAATGAAAGGGGATGGCACTGGTCTGGTCATCATAAGGGACTAGGACAAAGACAGAAGCAGTCTGCTTAGCACCAGGAGAACCTACAGCCCTGTTGCTCTCAGGCATCCCAGCCGAAGTCAGGAGCCTCCAAAAGATCTCAGCATGAAGAAGCATCTACAAGAGTCTCGTGATAGCCAGAGTCATCCGGGGAGTTTGGCAAGGTGAACAGAGTCTTGGCTTGACCCTCTGGACATCTAAGGCTGGCAAAACTACAGCTGGGTGTTAAAGGACACTTGGAAGGTCATCAAATATTTGCAGAGAGCCTCTGCAGGGTTGGCTCGATGCTGTGGATGTCCACATGATGGCAGTGTATGCCATGACAGGTCATGTCATAAACGTAAAAATCCCCAAATGTTACACTGAAAAATTCCCATCCTGTACCACAACCATGGACACGTTAGGCTGTGGAAGTTGCTTTCAGGGTCTTGGGAGTTTCTCCACTTAATTTAGTTACTTAAACAGAAGAAGGAAAGGATCTTCCTCACTGATTTAATTCATACTCTTGGCATTCATTGCAGAACTGGTTTACTGAGCAGGTGAAATTTAGGTGGCAATGCTTTGCCCCAGAGCGTGACCTTGCAGCAGCTGCTTTCCCGGGTGTGCCTGTGTTTATTCGAATAGGAAGAAGAGTCCAGGACCATCTGTCCCTGTGTGTTCCTGCAGTGCTTAGTGCTGACAGATGAAATGTATCTGTAATGCCAAAAAAAAAAATAATAACGTTTCAGGCTTCCAAACACATGATATATGAGGAAAACATGGCAAGAGCCCAGCAAGTGTTGCAGAGTAATGTGAGCTGCCTGGATCCCATCTGACCACACATGTCTCGAGGATGAATTTATATCTGGAAGCATTTAATACAGCTGTCTTACGAATACTTTGCAATACTTATTTAATTTACAGGCTGCTTCCTGTGTAAAATCCCAGTGGGGTTCAGATGGAAATTGCCGGTACCATCTGATAATGTGTTTGCCTGGCGAGCAGTGTGGGTCCTGTGCAGGGACCGCATCCCCTGGTGGTGTGAGCAAGCTGCTCTCACCCCTGGTTCTGCTGCTCCCGTCGTGCTTGGCAGCATGTGAGACAGTACCACCACCAGACTGCGATGGACAGGTACCCTTTGTGTGACCGGCATGTGGCTGTACAGCTATTCCGACAACCTCTGTGGGGAAAGGAATAACTGCATGAGTAGATGGTGTCTTTGCTCTGCCGTTGTTGAAAGACCAAGCTATAGCAATGAGAAAAATCCAAGATCTTTTTAACCAAACCAAAGACTTATGCTGTTGCACCCTCCATAGCCCCTCTCACAAATTCTTGTTAAATTAGTTATCTGAAGGTCTGAATCAAGTAGTGCAAGGTCAGCTCATCATCTTTGCAATTACCCTTTCTGCAGAACTTAGGGAAGGATTAAAGAATGAGGTAACCTCTCTACATCTAGTCCTTGACTGTCTTTATTGCTCTGAGTTATGCATCCTGTGTGACTAGGTCTTTTTATTCTAGACTACCATGTCTCTAATATCTAGGAGAGGAAAGGTAATTGGGGGGAGGCGCTCTCAGAAATTACATTCTGGAAAGATCTGGCTCCCTCTGCCACTGGGACACAGTTGTCCTAGAAGCCCTGTTGCAGCCTCAGCCCAGCTCTCCAGTTCAGAAGCAGAGCAGCCATGGAAGCTATGGGATGCAGGATGCAGGATGTGGGATAATGCAGGATGCAGGACGCAGGATGCAGGATATGAGATAGGGGATGCAAGATGCGGGATGATGCAGGATGTGGGATGCGGGACGCAGGATATGAGATATGGGATGCAAGATGCGGGATGCAGGATGATGCAGGATGTGGGATGCAGGATATGGGATATGGGATGAGGGATGCAGGCTGGCTGGCCTGGCATACGGTGCTGGCCCATGTGGCTCGGGGAGAGTAGGAGCTGGGCTGCCAGGCGTGGCATTATTTAGAAGAGTGTGACTCTAAGCTCCTGGCCTCAGAGGGTGTTAGCACCTAGGAGAGCTTTGTGCGCCGCTCTGATGTTGGGTCTGGGTATGCGACTGCAGGGGGAACAGGGTTCTGCTCCCTTCCCATGCCAAGAAGCCAGGAGCACAACACAGAGGGGAGGATGGGAATGCTGCAGGGCACCTTTCCTTTTCCTCTTCAGATGTGGAGGAAATGCCTCTTCAAATCTTATTAGATTTCTAATGAATCCTAAGAGTCACAGCGGGGACTGAGCAAGATGAAGGCAGGAGCAGCTTGGCTTTTCCATCTCAGGGCCAGGAACACGCTTTCCTCTACTCCCAATTCAGTCCACTCCCAAAAACCAGACCAGCCTTACACTACATTCATTGCCTTCTGTGGGATTTTGGATTATGCAGCAAAAATGGTGACCTGCTCTTAAAATCTCTGAAAATGCAGATTCCCCAGGCAACCTATGTCAGGGCTTAAAAAACCTTAGGGAATGCTTTATGATATGTAGCCTGTATCTACCAAAATGCAATTTAGCAGCTGCCATTTATTTACATGAGGACCGTTATGCCAAGCTCCCCTAATTTGATCCCCTTTTACCCACTCCCTTTCTGTGGGTACACCCTGATTTCAGCCTTGTGCTCTTGCTCATCAGATGTTCTTGCTTTAATCTTTCACATTTGCATGCCAAGGTTCATCCACTCCTTTTTAGGTGGTATTTTTTTTCAAATCTTATCTTTAAAAGAAAATTGAATCCAATATAGAGATGCATGTCATTTGCTTCTAGTGACTTCAGCTATTTTGATTAAAAATTTTCTCGTTTTACACTTTAGAATATGTAGGCAAAGTACATTTTTGAGTAAATGCAGTTGCCTTTATACTTAAATCTCCAAACAGGGTTGAAAGACACTGTCTCATTTTATCAATGAAAGGAGACGCAAGTGAAAAATTTTTGACAAATATTTGTACTTATGTATCCAAGTATGATGTTTGCTTTGATTACAATGGCAGGGTATTACTGATTTGCATTACTTTTGTGAGCCTCTGTGTCTCCAAAATACCTTTTGGAGAGATTGCTGCCCATCAGTCATTTCCCCTCTTGGTTTTATGCAATGGCTGTGCCTGCCCTTGTGCTTCGTGCCTGTGCTTATGGACTCATTCCCTATTCACTTGAGCATTTTTTTCAATTTATCAAGATAATTTTGCATCCTAATACTGTCCTCCCAAGTGTTTCCGACTTCTCATAGTTTTATAACACTTTAATAAGCATACCCTGTCTCTCTCCATTGCAGAGATATTTCTGATTTCAACTCAAGAGCTGCATCTCGCATCTGAAGAGGGGACAGGCAGCTGGAGCTTGCAGGCGTTTGCCCGGGCTGCCCCGGCGCAGGGGCTGGC